TTCTTTAGATGCTGTTAATTTTAAAAATAAGAACAGAAAACAATTTTCAGGGCAGCAGTCATGCAGTTGCTATGTTCAACAGCCCTATTGTTTTCTTTCCACTGAATCTAACGTTGATAACTCACTAAATCTTGAAATCAATGATGACCTAATTTTCTATCCTAGTTTATTCTTCTCCCAAGAATGTTATAATACTAACACAAATAGTTCCTGAAACTTAAACAGTAACAAATAATAAACAAAAATAACAATAAAAGCAGTGAGCCTCTTTTAAAAATGGCATTGCACTAAAGATACCATTTGCTTTACGTTGCCTCTTTTCAGTTGTTCAAAAGAGGAAACCTTGAGTAGTAGGGCTGTGATGCAAAGAATGCAAATTAAATCCCAGGTTTGTATAGGTAAATAATGTTTTATGAAGAATCTTTATGACGTGATGAATTATCTTAAGTGCTCAGGTACCAGGGAGCTAATTTCTGTGTGAAAGAATCTATCAGACTACAGTCTTGTGTTTCTTCGCAATATTTTTCAGTTTTATCACTAATGTTAAAAAGATTATGAAATAAGTTTTCTAGTTAGTCCAGAAGTATCATTTGTAGTTCCCAATATGTTATTATTTTGACTCATTTAAAAAAACAATAGAGCAAAAAAACCCAAGCAAGTTCACTCAGTAAATAAAAGAAGGAAGAGAAGCCTAGTGAATATAAATTTTGTAATATCCCTGGGGAGTCAGTTGTGTAGGTGTGATACAAATGGGAAAAACAGCTCTCCAGAGAGCAACGTGTAGAAAGGAACAAAGAGAAACCTTTTTGCTGGGCTGAGGGTTTTGCTGCTGACTGCTTGGCTGCGTGGTGGCATTGTTCGGAGGAAGTGCACCTGCTCTAACATTTTCTTCGGCTGGAAGCAGACAGGTTTGTTGAATGCTCTAATTGCTGGTAGGCATGAAAGGATTGCCTAGAAGATTGCTTCCTAGGCTGTCCTTTGATGTTTCGTATGATTTGGAAGCGAAGATTTCTCTTCCTTTATCCATCTTGCTAATAGGTGAGAATAAAATATCTCCTCTCAGCTTTCATTCCAGAAGGTATCATGGCACATTCTGTCCGATTAGCTTGTATCATGGACCAAAGGACTCCTTTTATCTTTTGAAAAGATTTGTAAAACACAAGCATAGTTATCACAGTCCACATTCATAAAGCACTATCAGCGACGTGTTCAGTTCATTGCAGGGGTCTCTGGGCAAGAGAAATACTCTGCTGTGAACACTGGACTTGTCAAATGCTATAAAACTGTGGCTAGGAATTTTGGATGCAATCCTTTTAGTACATGTTATGAATCTTGGACTGCAATTAGAACAGGTTCTTTGTTTAATTCCAGTTATATTAATTTAGAAATACAATAATTCTAATACAAAACCTAAGTTTTATCTTACTTTTCTGCAAAATTTGAATATTAGAGAGCTGCACTAGGGCTTGGTATTTTTAAGATCCTCCTTTTACAAATAAATATAAGGCATGACTAGTGCATTGTGAAGTATTGTAATAAATTTAAGCTACAACTATAGCTATAAATAATATGATGTGATGCACTTTGTTTACTGAAATGTGCAAATTATTAGAGTAACAAAAAACCCTATAAGTTAAGTAAGTTTTTATTTAAGTCTTTTAAGAAGAAATTCCCAGCTGAAAGAAGTTATGATGCATTACTTTAACCTATGTAAACTGTCACTAATACTTTTCTCTTGACGAAGTGGACTATTGTCAACAAACTTGAAAGTACCAGCATACTCAAAAACAAGTAGCTTTTCTCAGTAGAACAGTCTTCCTCGGGTTTAACTTAAGTGGGCTTAATGCTTCATGATGATATAAAATTCAGATTCGGATCCACCACTTCAAAAGTTCAGGAGTGCACAGGGTGTGCTTTTTGAATCAGAACCTATTTTACTTTCTAATGAAGAGTTGAGAATTCCTGCATAAGAAACTTAACACCTGTTAAATATGACTCAGAAATATATTGTCAGAAGTTTTTAAACATAAATATGGTTTTGGGCTTTATTGGAAGTTAAGCAGCATGTGATTCTTGAATCACTTGTAAAATCTGACAGAAAATCTTTGATGTATCTTCTGAAACTTAAAGATCTATAAACAATTTTTACATTGTGATTTATTGAGTTATGAATACAATTTCCTTTTTTTGAAATTGCATCGTCTTATTTTAAGACTATCCATCTTGGGATTCAATTTCTGGAATGCTGAGACATACTGGTCCTGATTCTCATAGCTACCTCAGTTGGTTACAGCGCCAGTGGCCAAGGCCATTGAACTTCTATTGAATTTTGTCATGGTCACTGTAAATTATACTAGCTTCCCAACTTTCTCTTCTGAGGACAAAGAATGTGTATTTTGTCTTGTGGTATAAGCAAGGAGTATATTTACATGTCTACAATTGTGGCCTCCAGTTTTCATTTTGTTGTGACACAATAAAGTATTTTGAAGAGTGTGTCTAGAACTTTATTTACTTGGCAAGAGGTCGCTCTGGTTTATTTTTTTATCTGTAGAACCAAGTGTTTATCGGGTTTCTGTATGAATCATGCAGTGTGTTAGGGAATATTTTACACCAGTGTTTTATTTTAAATGTCTTTATAATAAACTTTTGAGGTGTTAAATTTTCCTAAGATATTTTTAAGTCCAGGAAAAGTTAGATTTTTTTTCTCCAAATTTCCAAATTTAACATGCATATCTTTGTACATATAACACTGTGTAAGTATGTATATATCTATGTAAAATTTGCCAATTTGAATGTTTTTGTTAACTAAATGTGAATATTCTGGTGTGTTTCAGGTGTTGCTAATACACATTGCCTTAGGATGTAAATACTTCAAGAGAATAAAATCTAGGTGGTTATATTTTTCTTATCTCGATGGGTGGGGAGAAGGTTGAGCATTCAGTTCACCTCCCCATTCACCGAACAGCAGAAACGAGGTAATTGTGAGACTCAGGCTGGTACAGTCAAGGAAATAAACAAGTCCTCTTCGAAGTCAAAAGGGAAAGGATTGCAGATCAGTTGTGGATCCTGTTTTGTTCACTAGTAGTCATTCCCTACTTAGTGCTATGAGATGCAGAGGGGACTCTGCCTAAAAAATTCTTGAAGATGACGACCCTTACAACACCTTCATTTGAAAGAGATCTCGTCAGCATTAATCCCTAGGTCACTGTCTTAAGGGTTATACGTAAGCCATCCAGAAATAATAGGGGTGACTCATTCATTTTGATGTGGTGGTGGGTTTTGTGGTCATATACAGGGAAAGACAGAGTGTACTTGGACATATCCTTGCAGGCAATTTTGCAGACCTCGCTTTGATAGGAACAAACTCTTACGGGTCTGTTTTCTTAGGCTTATTCTAATTTAGCCTGGTGAAAAAAGGCATAGAATAGCCACAAGTTTTGTACTTGGTAGACATACAATTATGTCTGTCTGTTTTCTTCTTGGTGGGTATTGGTGCCATCACATAAGTCTCTGCGTGCTATCTCATTTTTATATGAAGCATTCAGAACTGCAGCAGAAACTGCTCTTTTTTAAAAAGGAGAAGGAAATTAAATGAGTGAGATTAGACTGATAGAATTTTGAGAATTTGGTTTATGCAGACAAAACTCCAGGAAATTCAAAGCTTAGCCTGAGCTGTAGTCCATCAATCAAACTGTTGTGGAAGGATAATGCTAGAAATCATAGAAAACACAAAAAGATATGAGATATAAGAAGAGTGCAAGTCTTAATAATCCTGACTCATAACTGTATTCTAAATGAATGTTTTTGTATTTAATTTCCTGAAGAAAGTATTAAGGATGATGAATAGGGGAGGAAAATATTTAATGGAATTTTAGTTAATTGATTGGGCAGCATTCAAAGCAAAAATAGTTTAACACCTCACAGATTTGACTACTCTCAAAAGCTGAATGGTGGAATTACATATTGTATTCTACAACGTCTCACTTTAATCTTGTACTGATGTTTGTAAAAATACAGACAATTACTTTTTAAAGGAGAGCTTATAAAAGGAGTCTTTTTATTTCAGTAAAATCAGTGAAATGCTTCAGTTGTTTTTGACAGTCATGGGGACTAGAAGCTAATATGCTAATATGCTGCAATATTACTATATATGTACATGTAAGTCACAGCATGACTAATTGCCAGTTTAAAAGAAGATAGTTTACAAACATAATTGTTTTCTCAGTGAGGAGCAAAGTATGTTTCATTCCTTATGAAACTCTGAAAGAAAAAGATTAAGATCAAATATAATGAACTCAGTCACTTTGTGTTTGAAAGTAAGAAAGATTCTGAATTGAATCAGTGTTGCCTTGAAATGGATTATATTTTTTTCTGACATGTGAGTTGATTTGTGGGTTAAGCAAGCTACAGCAGCCGATGTTATTAAATTCCAAAGAAGCTAAAAAAAAAAGCTTTGAGACAAGAAGGTATCTTCTGGAAACTTTTTACTACTGCCAGTCAAACAAATCTTAATAGCTTTTATGGTATAGTATTCAGTATTTGATTTATAATGCTTCTCTGATTCTATTTTATCTTAAGCGTAACACTCTTCAATTCTACAATTGAAGCATATGGGGAAGGTTGTAATTGACAGACCAGTTAAGAAAGAAAACTTTAGGCTTCGACCTTGGTGTGTCATTCTGTAACAGCCTGGAGAATTGCTTAATTCCTGTGACCAGGGGTGTTGTGAAGGAGACTTGTATACCAGCATGCTGCAGAAAAGTTTAGGATTCAAAGTGTGTGTTTATTTATTGAATGTTACGTAATTTTCCATGCAGTTAGCAAATTTGATCGCATCAGTTTAGCTCTGTTTATAAGCTGCTCCAAATAAAAGCGGAATGGAGAAAAATGAAATTTATTAAATATTCATAATGTATGTGAAATTTGTTTTCCTAATCTATTGCTTTTTCCATATTGTTCTTTTCATGATAGTCTATTTTTTTGTCTCACTTTCTGTGTAGGACTGGTTCATCACATCTGTAATCTAATAGAAACTGTGGCTCTGTACTTGGAGGCAGATGATAAAAGCAGCATCAAGACAGCAAATGCACTGCTTCTGTCCTTGCTTGACATTTTGCACTGCATGCTGATGTACACAGCAAACATTGTACGCCAGACTTTACAGGTATGGAAATTATTTCCTGAGGTCATCGATATCTTAAACAATTTTTTAGATAACTTCCTGTTATCCTAATAATGAACTTCCCACTATTCTGATTTTATTGAAATTTAGTTTGGTGGAAAGAGAAGAGGATGTATTTTCAGCTGCAAATCACTGTTTCATGTACTTACCTGGCTATACTATCCATACTAGCCCTCACTATATGCTGAGAAAACAGAACCTAGCTGACTTTTTTTTTGTACTCCATGAATAGCTTAATTCAATATTTGCTCAATGATAGTTCAAAGCATTTTATTTCCATTCATTTTAAAAGAAAAAGATGACTCCATAGAAAAAAGTATCTTTTTTACTATAAATCACATGCGATTACTGTGCTTGAAAAGCATGTATGACCTCTGCATGTGGGTTAACAAAGGTATTTCCTCTCTTACACTGCTCAATTTGTCTTCCAAGTTTCTGTTTGAATCATTGCAAATCATGGCATTGGTAGGACTTCTTCCTCCAATGAAGGCTTCCTCCTCCTTAAAAATGGAGCACAAAAAGATAATATGCAGGGAAATTTCACATAACTCTCTTAAAAAACAAAAAAAACAAACAAAAAAACCCACAAAAACAAACAAGAAGCAGCATTCATCTTTTTTTAGACATGATGATAACCTAGCAGCATGTGCTTTGTTTTTAAAAGATCTGCCAAATTTCTAAGTTAGTCAGCTGGAAGTAACTTCTGTACATAGGCTGCAAACAACACCACTTACTCTTCGTGTTAAGTTTTTGATGTTCTTGCGGTTGTTCGCTGAAAAACAGAGAAACTTGTTAGGTCAAATATATTTGGAGGACAGAGATTCAAAAAATTGCAGACAGGTTGTATTGAATTTCAGGACATGGCTTCTTTATTCTGAAAACGTCCTTCTCTATGGGTGGCTTGTGTGTTGTGGTGTTTTTTTTTTTTTTGAGGTGGGTTTTTTTTGTTTGTTTGAGTTTTTTTTTAAGAAGGTTTAATGTATAAAGTGGGTGTTGAAAATTGAGCGCTTTTTTTTTCTGCACAGATTTATGTAATCAGTTGTGTTATCAATCAGATATTTCACTGAGAGGTGTTGATTTAATTTTTTTTTTAAATTTTTGAAAGAAACTTGATTTAGAACTGATGGTACAATACCTTGTCTTTTTCAAGTTCTCTAATAGCAGTTTCTGTAATGCATTTCAAATTTTGTAGGCTGATTACTGATTGTTATATTGCTGGCAGCACTCCATGCAATCACAGAGAGCTAAATTCTGTACTTAATGCTCCATGCAGAAGTGGCGAGGCCAATTATACTGGAGGACACATATGAGGGGAGAGGATCTTGCACATGGATTGGTAATGTTAGTGAAACTGATGATTTTGATTTAGATACAAAATTAAATCTATACATTCAAAGCCAAATTCTATTCTGGCTTTACATGAATACATCAGTTGACTGATGCACTAAAACTCTAGCTCCAGTTTTGTCCATCTCTAGTCAAAGTAATCTACTTTGCTCTGAAAGGCTAATGGGTAAAAAGAGGCAGCTGAAAAAACGAGTTTTGAACCATAGCTCTGCCCTCTACCCCTATAAAACTAACTTTATGGTGGTGTTACTTGCCTTGGCATGCTTGTCTCAACAATACTTGTCACAGGGCCCCTGTGGTTCTACAGCTGCCTCAGCACACCTGCCCTATTGAACGATGGCTGGTATTTGGTGACTGCTATTTACCTTGCATCTACGTAATATTCCACTATCCGCGTGTCACTAATTGCATCACTGTAGTGATAACAAAGATTCTTTGAGTGTTTTTATAGGGATTTTCTGAATAAGATACCTTCTAAAACAGAACTTGAAGTAGGGAATCAAATTTTCTCATATTATCAATTTTTGCAGCTTCAGTTGACTTTTACAGATGGTAGTACCTTCACTTGAATCCTTTTTATGTAAGCTTTATATATGTAAAGTGGTAACCTTATCCAGCTGCTTAGGCAAAACACGACATCACTTTTCCATTGCATTTCAGTACTTTATGCTGAATGATGCTGGTGACTCTATCCAGCTTCATTCAAGAGTTTGCTTTCTGTAGTCCAAGTACTTGTGTCTTGGTACAAAGGTTCAGATTAATTGGCATATCTGTTTTGGAGAAGTTTCATCATATCATGTTCCACAGGTGATCCACGGTAGCTGAAAGAAATTTGCAATCTTGATTTGAGAAGTCGACTCTATTTAGTGACTTAATGTACGTTTCAGCGTAGTGTAGTGTGTGTCCTTTATGTACATATATAAAGTATAATTCCTCTAGTGCTATTGTTCATTCTCTTTCCAAAGGCTCTAAAGATATAAAATTTAAAGAAAGCAGTCAAACATCCCTGATGGAGTATATTTTTCTTCTCATCCAAACACTAACCAGAAAAAGCTGTTGTAAATTTTGTCAAAGTGAAAGTGGCTTACTTCTGTTTCCTGATTAATATAAACACTCATTTTTGCAGTCTTCTCTGCACTATATCATTTCACCCTTCTTGGACTGCAACATGCAAGGTCATTGTGGTGAGCCTCAGTGAGGGACATACCAATGTGTCTTATTACCTGGAGAAACAGCTCTTCAGATCTCTTTTATTTCGAAATTCTTCCCAGAAGAAAGGCATTATCCATTCAACTCATCAGTATTGACAGTCAAGCTTCAGCAGTAGTGTCTCCTGTCTCAGGGGACTTGCTCCTGTGTTCACTTAACCAAATGAAAATCCTCAGGTATTACACTTGGATGATTGTTTTAGGATTGAGCTGTAAATGAAACACACTGCAAAATGATTTTTAAATGTGTTCTTTAGACAAAACGTTTACATTTTCCTCTAGCAGCTAGACTGTATAGGGTCATGGTCCAAAGCTGCTGCAAGATAATGAAGTTAAATGAAAAATCTTGCAAGCAGACCTTTCTTCTGTCCTGAGGCAGATGGGTCATAAATAGCACTGCCTAGGAAGGCAGTGTGTTTTGATGAGGAGGGATGACAATGGTCAGAATTACAAGTTGTAACAGATCATATCACAGGTTTTTATCACTTAAAGATTTTATTATTCCTATTCCATAGAATCATAGAATAAGTTTGGTTTGGAAGGGACCTTTAAAGGTCATCTGGTCCAGCTGCCCTGCAGTGAGCAGGGACATCTTCAACTAGATCAGGTTGCTCAAAGCTCCATCCAACCTGACCATGAATGTTTCCAGGAATGGGGTATCTACCACCTCTCTGGGCAACCTGTTCCAGTGTTTTGCTACCCTCATTGTAAAAGATTTCTTCCTTATATCTAATCTAAATCTATCCTCTTTCAGTTTAAAGCCATTACACCTTGTCCTATCATGACAGGCATTGCTAAAAAGTTTGTCACCATTTTTCTTATCAGCCCCCTTTAAATACTGGAAGGCTGCATTAAGGTCTCACCAGAGCCTTCTCTTCTCCAGGCTGAACAGCCCCAACTCTTTCAGCCTGTCTTCATAGGAGAGGTGCTTCAGCCCTCAGATCATCTTTGTGGCCCTCCTCTGGACCTGCTCCAACAGGTCCATGTCCTTCTTGTGTTGGAGACTCCAGAGTTGAACGCAGTATTCCAGGTGGTGTCTCATGAGAGCAGAGTAGAGGGGCAGAATCACCTCTCTTGACCTGCTGCTCATGCTTCTTTGGATGCAGCTCAGGATATGGTTGGCTTTTTGGGCTGCAAGCTCACAGGGTCTGCTCACATTGAGCTTTTCATCCACCAGTACCCCCAAGTCCTCCTCCTCAGGGCTGCTCTTGATCTCTTCATCCTCCAGCCTGTACTCATACTGGGGATTGCCCCAAACCATGTAAAAGACCTTGGACTTGGCCTTGCCGAACCTCATGATGTTTATATAGGCCCACTTCTCAAGTCTGTCCAGGTCCCTCTGAATGGCATTCCGTCCCTCAGGTTTGTCAGCTGCACCACTCAGCTTGGTGTCATCTGCAAACTTGCTGAAAGTGCACTTGATCCCAATGTCTATGTAATTGATGAAGATTCATAGATTCATAGATTTCTAGGTTGGAAAAGATCTTAGAGATCATCCAGTCCAACCGTCCCTAATCTCCCATTAAACCATATCCTTAAGTAGTTCATCCACCCTTTTCTTAAACACATTCAGGGATGGGGACTCAACCACCTCCCTGGGCAGCCTATTCCAGTGGCTGACAACCCTTTCAGAGAAGAAACACTTTCTAACATCCAACCTGAATCTCCCTGACTAAGCTTATGCCCATTTCCTCTTGTCCTATCACCCATCACTAATGTAAAATAAAGATATTAGTACTTGTCCCCGTACGGACCTCTGAGGAACACCACTTGCCACTGATCTCCATTTGGACACTGAGCCGAGGGACACTACCCTCTGGATGCAACCATCCAACCAATTCTTCATTCACCAAACAGTTCACTCATCAAATCCATATCCCTCCAGTTTAGAGAGAAAGATGTTGTGGCAAACAGCATCAAAGGCCTTACAGAAGTGCAGATAAACAACATCTTTAGCTCTTCCCTTGTCCACTGATGTAGTCACTCCATCATAGAAGGCCACTAGGTTGGTCATACAGTACTTGCCCTTGGTGAAGTCATGCTGGCTGTGTCAAATCACTTCCCTGTTCTCCGTCTGCCTTAGCATAGCTTCTAGGAGGATCTATTCCATGATCTTTCCAGGCACAGAGGTGAGACTGACAAGTCAGTAGTTCCGAGCATGCTTCTTTCTACCCTTTTTAAAAATGGCTGCAATGTTTCCCTTTTTCCAGTCACCAGGGACTTCACTTGACTACCATGACTTTTCAAATATCATCAAGAGTGGCTTGGCAACTACATCGGCCAGTTCCCTCAGGACTCTGGGATGCATCTCATCAGGTCCTATAGACTTATGTATATTCAGCTCCTCAAGTGGTCACAAACCTGATCTTCTCTTACAGTGGGAGGGACTTTGCTCCCCCAGTCCCTGCCTTGTGGTCCATCCACTTGAGAGGTGCGGGAAAAGAGGCTGCCAGTGAAGACTGAGGCAAAAAAGCTTTTAAGTAGCTCAGCCTTCTCCTCATCTGTTGTTACCAGTTTTGCTCATCAGGGAGGTTATGCTTTCTTTGACCTTTCTTTTCTGCCTGACATACATTTAGAAGCCTTTCTTACCATTCTTTGCATCCCTTGCCAAGTTCAGCTCCATCCATGCCTTGGCCTTCCTGATCCCATCCCTACACAGCCTGGCAGCGTCCCTGTACTCTATCCCAGGATACCTGTCCCTGTTTCCACTTTCTGCACATTTCCTTCTTGTCCTTTAGTTTGACCAGCAGCTCTCGACTCAGCCATGCCAGTCTCTTGCCTTCCTTGCCTGATTTCTTATACCTGGGGATGGAGAGCCCCTATGCTCTATGGAAAGCATCCTTAAAGATCTGCAAGCTTTGTTCTGCTCCCTTGTCCCTGAGGGCAGCTTCACAGGGAGTCCTATTGACTAATTCCTTGAACAGCTGGATTTTTGCTTTCCTGAAATTCAGAGTCCTGACTTTACTCTTTGCCTGAACCATGTTCCTGAGTACTGTGAACTCCACCAGTGTGTGATCACTGCAGCCCACACCACCTCCAGTCTTGACATCACCAATTAGCTCACTTGCACTGGTAACCGTCAGGTCCAGTATTACATCCCCTTTGGTAAGGCTGTCTATTACTTGGCTTAAGAAGTTATCCTCAATACACTCCAGGAGTCTCCTGGTTTGCCTACAGCTCGCCATGCTACTTTTCCAGCAGATGTTGGGGTGACTGAAGTCTCCCAGCAGGATAAAAGCCTGTGAGCGCAATGCCTCCTGTAGCTGGAGTAAGGAAGGCTTCATCAATAAGCCCCTTGATTGGGCAGCCTGTAGTAGACACCAACCACAAGATTCACTTTGTTGCCTCTCTGGCTTCATCACCACCCACATGGAAGAGCAGTAATGGGTATTAGTCCGAGGGCCATACCAGGTTAGGAAGTTTCCTAGTCATGTCCTTAACCTGCGCCCCAGGGAGGCTGCTAATTTAAATTATTATAATATGTTATGAATATTTCAGGATACAAAGTGAGTCAGAAGGGTAAAATTAGACATTATTGCTGAGAATCCTAACTTTTCAGTCACCTTGATTTTCTTGTTTTGAGTTGCACTTAAAATTGTCCCTGAAAAGGAAAAAAAAAATAGTTGAACTTTAATGTTAAAAGAGGCATGTCATGTTGAAGAGAATACAAATACATAAAACATTTATGGCTTTAGAATCTCTTTTGCATACACAGTTTATAGCGTTTTGCTGAAGAAATGTCAGGTAGGTCAGTGTATCCAGCCTGTGCAGAAGGGGCATGACAGCATGAGTCCCTTTTGCTTTGTGCTCATTGTTGCAGACACAGGGAGCGTTAAGGGCTCGTTGGGAGTCCAGGAATACTTAACTAGAAAAGAGAGTACAAGTCTCCTTCAAACTTCTGTTTGAAGTCTCCTTCAAACTTCTTCGACCGCTTAATGGACCTAATTTGTTTCTCATAACAGAACAGTCACCAAGGTTGCTTTTTATTTTTCCTCATCTTATTAAGGCACAGAAATCTGGCACAGGAGGGGACACGAAGGCTGCTGAAGACCTTCTGCTTATCAATAAACCCCTGACGGACCTAATTAGCCTGCTTATTCAACTGGTGAGAATTCGCTTGTTTGTAAGCTATTTGGAATGTTGCTGAAGTTAGAATTATTCAACTGAATTCAACATCTTAGAACTCTGTTTGCTTGTTTTTCATTGTTTTACAAGCTCCCACCTAGTACGAATGAAGGATTCCAACAATTTTTAAGAAATTACAGGTCACAGTGACGTCAGAGTAAGTCTGTCCCAAGCATAGAAGTGGGACTAGAGGCAGGCTGCAGATTCTCAGGTTGGATACGTATGTATAGCCAAATTTTAGCCCTTTAGAATGGACTAGTGATCACTGTATAGGGAAAGGATGATATTCAAAATTTGAAAACAGAAAGTACTGCTACTATTAGAAAAGTCAGGAAACTTAGAATTTATTTGCAACGAGTGATGACTTAATATTTATTTTCTTGGTTTTGAGCCTTCTGAGTTTTTCTCAAGGGTTTAATTTTATTTTAACATGATCCTTGAGGGATTTAGGAGTGGGAATGGTCCCTGGTGATCTGTAAACGTCTTTGAAGTCTGTCTTTTTTAAAGTCAGTCTTTTCCAGGGTTTACTAGATGTCACAGCGCTGCATTGAAATCTCCACAGTGCTGTATTGTGGCCCTGACTCATCCCATCAGCTCAACCTCCATCATACTGTGCCAGAGATTTGTATTGGCTCTATGTGTAATAGCTTGCAGTAGAGGAATGCTTCTTGAGCTTTACAGGGTTTTTTAGAGGCTGCTTCAGCCTTTTATTCAACATAAAGCCATTAAAATGGTATGTGATCATTTCCCTGTGGCGTATCACACTATCCTTTCCAGGTTTTTTCACTTGGAGGCGTTTAATATTCACTGTGTTCTCTTCCAGCCCCGTTTTTGTTTGTTTGTTTTTCATTTAAGTATAGGTTTTCAGATCTATTGTGATATGAATATCTGGGGCTTTTTTACTATTTTTAGCACTGTCTATCATCTTCTATTTTGGAGAAGAGTGCGATTCCTTTTTTATTAATTTTTGGCATTGTACTTGTTGCTAAGTCCTCCTTTCATGGGTTTATTTTAACCAGCCATTGACAAAGGGTTTGTGGAAATGTTCACTGAATGACCTAAACCAAAGTGATTGAATTTCAACTATATAATATTTCATCCTTATCAATTCTTTGAATTTATTTTCTGTTATTTTTTTAAATCACTATATATGATAAATACTAAGATATGAAGAGATGCAAATATTCCTTTAAAGTTAAATTAGACGTAAATTTAAATTCCATTAACTCTCCAAAGAACAGAAAATTAGAGGCTGAGCTTTACTCAGCCTATACCACCTGGAAGTCTTTTATATGTTTTTAATTAAAGGATAGGATAATTATATAGTTAGCATGTACTGATTCTGACTTGCCCTTGTATTTCAGAAGCATGGCTGCAAATGACCACTAGAGTTTACTTTGTTCTGTATTTCTACAGATTCTGTTCTATTTAGAATGCTTATTTAAAAACTGCTGATTTTAAAATACAGGTAAAGAGTAAAGACCATTAATGTTTGGTTTTGGTTTTGAATTTTGTTGAAGATTTTGTGAGGGATTTTCTCTTGTAATGTGTATGTGTTCTTTATGTACATGTGCTTGATTGGATATATGAAATTTATTTCAGCTGAGTGTAAAATTTTGTATCCTTTACACTCATTGCTGTATTTAACTTTTCCTGTTAAGGCTGGAAGAGTTTGAACAACAGAATAATAATTTTTAGCATTTAGTATCCACTCATTTAAAATGTTTTATGCTCTAATCTATTTAAATCGGACTAGATTCATTGTGAAGTTTAGTGGGTCTTTCAAGATGTATATGCTCCTTACCCCTCAAAAAGACTCAGGCCTGCTTAAGCTCAAGTTCTATGGAGCTGCCAACAGTAGTTCTCTGTATTCATTGAGCTGTGGGGCTACATAACACTTTATTACTGTTCTGAGGCATTCAGTTCTTTGTGAACTGGATTTTCTGGAGATAATGGAGGTCTTAAATACTGAACTAGTCATCACTTCAAGATATTGAGTTAAAATTATTTTCTCTGATTTCCTATTTCTACCTGTCTTACCATATTTGTAGTTTCTTATGTCACTTTGAATAATTGCTTTCTCTCATTGATATGTGTATCCCTCAAGTAGATGATTGTTCCATGCCCCATTGACTTGTCTATTTATTTATTTTCCTCAAGTTCTGCATGTTAATCTCTCTTAATAATCCCTCAAAAATCAATGTGAGTTAAACTTGAAAATGTCAAAAACTTAGAATCAATTTTTCCTTTCTGTAATTGCGATTTAGTCTATTACTTAGGGCATAGCAAAGCAAGTTTAGGAAACCTAGATTGCATGTAAACGAAACTTTAGAGATTTTAAGAATATGAAAGAAGAAATAGTTACGAATTCTTTCATGCAGAAAACACTGCAAATATGGAGAATTCAATGTTTAATCCCATGATTAGTCTGCCTTTAATTGATCAATAAGGGGAAAATAAATCAAGCATTTAGTCTTCTGCTTGGCGGTTTTGTTTAAAAGTCAATTACACTTAGCTTTTGTGTGTAATGTTTCTCCACTTGAACATAAATGTAATTTGATTATTATACTGAAACTTGCAGTAATTATAGAAGATATAAAATACCTTCTACTTTTTGATGTACCGTTATACTAAAAAAAAAAAGAATGTTTACTTACTTTTGAAATCACCTCAGTGTGGGTTTTCAGAAACCTTGCCAGGAGTTTCATTTCTCTGTAAATTCTAGATTTAGATCCTAGGTGTAGATCCTCCAGTCTTTTGGTGCCAGACTCCTTCATTATAGTATTACTAGTAAAATTGGTAGTTGATTACTGGGCTTTGTATATTATTGTTGAAAGACCAGTTAATCATGTGCAAACATGAAGAGACAAATATGAAGCCTCAGTGCACATGAATGAATGAGGTGATCTCCTGGAGGTCCTTTCTGTTTCTTCATTGCACTGGCTCTAAAGCTGTGCCCTGACTTTAGTTTCAGGGCACGTGAAGGTATTTGCCAATGAATAATGAAAATGACTGCAGATGAGTGATAAACCTGTAGACTATCTAATTTTATTTCGCATTTCGTAGGAATACAGACAGTTCTGTGGTCAGAGTGGAAAGACATATGTTTATTTCCTGTGTAGTATGACGTATTGTTGTTATTGTATTTGAAATGTTATCTGCAAATTATATTTTAACAATTTTCTTCTACAAAGCTTCCCTAAAAAACAAACCACAAGAAAAACCTCAAACAAAAGGACACCAGAGGAAATAAAATATGTTGTAACAAGCACAGAATTTCAGAATGGGGCTTTAATTTTTCAGCAATTAGGCTAGATTAAAAGGAACTGAAAATATAGTGGGTTTTAAAATATTTTCCCTTAGGTAGGACAATGACAAATTTGCCCTAAGCCAAAACAGAGTATTTTATTTTTTTTATGTTAAACTGTGCATATTTACTGATAAGAATGGCATAGTAAAGTTACCAGATTTAATAATTATGTTTTGCCTTTACATTTGTTTAACGTTTGCAAGATCGTCTTCCGTATAGTTCCCAATGGTGCTTTCTTTGCAGCACATTCTGTAATCACATTACTGATCTAATGAAAATCTATCTCTTATCGTAATAAACTCTCTTTGTGTATAACCTCATTAATGCACTGAAATAGTGTCCCCTCCGGGTAATCCAGACAGTTTCATTGTAGCTCTAAAATTAGATGCTGTAACAACTCCAACAGTGTGAAAACTGCCACTTCAGCTCAAATGATCACACGTTTCTTGCAGTGGTTTGCAATTCATGAACACGCTGCAACTCGGTTCAAAATGAAGGCGTTTTTGACAACAGACTACAGAAATATAGATGTGTCATAACAAGAAACTTCCTGCTCTTTACCACGTTAACCTTAAAATACATAGAGCAGATTATATCTAGAAAGGAAGAGAAGCAGAATTTTATGTTATGAACCTGTTTACAGGAGGTTATAACATGGCCATAAAAATTAAGTAAAAAGTACTACAGAGTCGTCTTTGCTCAAAAGTCTTGTCATGAGGCATAATTTTAAAATTTTAAGTGAAAAATAAATCTACAGTTCTGAGTTAGAGAGTGGCAAAAATTATGACTTCAGGTGTTCAGTAATTTATTTTAAGGTGCTGGATTTTCTTCAAGCTATGCACTAGCCCAAAATATTAACAGCTGCAAGGAGAAGGAGTACTAATGTTTCTACCTTGCTGAAGGGCTGAATCCATAATCCCTTCTAAGACTGAAAAGCGAAAAGAAACTAAAGGCCACTAGAGGCTTTTTTATGTAATTAGGAATTATTAAGGGGCAGGTATTTTCTTAGAGTTAGAACTCTAGCTTTTCATGGGTTTCTCCTCCTCTGAAAGAAAAAAAACTTAAGTAGCTGCTGTCATGAAAAACTATCAATGCATTTCAAAGACTTTAAATACACTTCTTCATATCAAATGGAATTCTTATGATTAGGAAAATAATCAGAACACTGTTCCAGCTGATTAAGAGATGAACCGTCTGTCTATATTCATTGTCTAGCAGCATGATTCTAACTTTGTTGTTCTTGTTAGACATGAGATACTATTTACTTGAAAGATGAATTTTCATTCCTTGGTTTTCTATATTTACAGATATTTATTATATTTTCAGTCATTGCTTTTGTTCATACCAATAATTTTCTTCAGATCCTCTACTCTTCATAACCATTAATGAAAGTGCTAACGCTGACTGGCAGCCATTGTTAAATTTCAGGTTACCAGCTGTTGTGGTTTAGGCCGTGGTTTTTACGACTTTTGACGTCTGAATCACTACTTGTCGGTAGTGAAACAGCAAAATGGTGAGAGTTATAGAGAAAAATACTGACGCAGATATACTTAAATAGGAACATCTTCTGCTCCACCTTAATTATTGATGGGTTAGACTGTAGGCAAATGATTCTCATCCACTCCAGAGTAAATACAGTCTTTTCTGTTCCCAGCTTGTTTTCTTATTCGTCCAAGACCTATGCTGTTATTGTTTTACCCTGCAATTTTCCAGGAAGACAGCAACTTGCTCTCCAAACTCTAGATTACACTGAAGCTCATACAGACTCTGGAGAAGCAGAGGAACAGAAGAGCCTGAAGTACAACAGGCAATGAAGGACTTTATTGACATTTGTGATTGAATAGGATAATGTCATGGCTGGCAAGTGCTGTGAACCCTGGAGTGATACTGGTGGCAAGATTTGGAGGATGGTCACTAATAGCTTGATATCCTGTGAAGATCAAGCCTATTTGATGCCAAGACATACTGGATGGAGAGATTCAGGGTCTTCCTTTCTCTTGTCGAGGGACAGAGAACAGCAGCAACAGTGATACAAGGTTGGGCATGCCAGGAGGAGATAAACAAAGTTGTTGGCCCAAGCCCAGCCCTTCCTCGCCTAAAGCAGAATGTTGCACTGTCTCACTAACTGGGGACTTCTGCTGAAGGCAGTTGTCCTTAGGAATAATGTTAATAGGTTGGACTTGCTCATTTGTTTCCTTGGAAGTCATGTATCTTCTTGGTCTCAGGAAGAACTGCAAAGGACATGGTGCTTTATGTGTTTCTTCAAGCAAGGCTGTTCTAGGGACAGTCCTCTGCAGAGTCTAACACCTTTCCAATCCTCTGTTTGATGTTCAGTGAATATCTCAAGAAAAGACCTTGGGAACAGTATTACTTCCAAATATGGCTGTTGTGAATACGGATTACACATGAGATTTTGCGCTTATGGAGACCAGGGAGCTAACCTGCACTGCAGTACCAGGGCAAGGACGTGTCTCTCCAAATCTTCACTGATTTTTTTATTTTTTGGTTTTGGTTAGCCAACAAACAACATTTGAAAATTGACTATAGTTCTTGCACTGTGATTTTCTTCAGGGGGTGATTGATATACCTGTCTACGCTGATCTAGTAACAAACTGTAAGTTAGAGTGCTGCTTTTAAAAGGGATAAGAGAGATAAATTAAAGTAGCTTAATTTTTCCTTCCTTTATCTAACAGCATTTTTTTTTCAGTGAAAGAAACACAAGTCGGCTCAAAGGCCTCAGTGAGATCAGTGGAATTTATTTTTTTTACTTGATAAGAATTGAAGATATAAATGGAGCTATAAAGCTTGTTACTATTTGTAGCTTTTTCTCCTTTTAAGCCTCGCTATTTATATTGATGATGTTATTAGATAGTTCTGGATGTTGGAAAGGAAACAATCAAATAGGTGACATTTAGATGGAAATGAAGAAAAACATGTGGCAAAACTGGAAGAAATAGCTGCTGTGGTCCTGTCACTTGCATAGCATTAGGTCAAATAGAATGTGATATGTCTTGGGGCTATGTATTCAGAGCTTACATCTCAGTTCAGTATGTTTTAAACAGCCAGTTCTACGAAGCTAATGGAAAACAGAATTGTATTTGCATGCAGATCCCTTGGGAATTGCTTCTTGAATATTTAAGGCGTATATGTCTGATGATGTGTTCCCAGATTGCTTTAAAGTAACTGTATGGGTTTTCCATAAAATTAAAAACTTTCAAAGTTCATACTGCAGATTAAATAAACTATCATTATTGAACTGGTTGAGCATATTATATAAATGATTGGACAGAGTATATGAATTGTTTTCTTTTTATTGTCAGTAAGAATGGTGTGTTAACTGTACTTTAACTTTTTTTGTATTTAAGTAGGTTTTTTTGAATTAAAAAACTGAGGAGTGATGAGGTGTTTTTACACTTTTATGCCTTATTGTTTAAGACCACCACTGGTATATTTTGTTTAGTTGGTAGACTGTAAGGCCAGAAAGAAAGAAAGAAAAAAGGAAATCAAAGTGTTATCTTCCTTCTGATCTGAATTTAGATAAAGTTTTCAGCCGTTATCTCTTACCAGTCCTTTTTCAGGTAAAGGAATTAACCTATCCTCAGCCTGCTTTTTCTCATGTGTAACCAAAAGAATATGATCAAGTGCCCTGTAACCTTCTCTTTGATAAGCTATATATGTTGAATTCCTTCAGTCTTTTTCTGTTATGTTTTCCAATCTGTTGTCCTCTTGCCTGTTCCCAAGAAGCCTCTGTAATTTTTTCACTAGCTTCCATGAACCGTTTGCGCAAAAACTAGGCATTGCATTCCTGTTGTCGTTCCAACAATGCCAAATACAAGCATAGTGTCATATCTCTACTCGTTATTTCCAGGTTGTACTTTCAAGAAAGGTATAAATCATTTTGATATCCATGTCATACTGCCAGAAGCTCATTTAAAGATGATTATTAGACATATCCCCAAATCTTTTCCATAATTTTGCTTCCCAGGAAAGAATTTTTCCATCCCGCTCCTAGGGCCTGCTCCAGCATCTGCTTTTCAAAAGAGTTCAGAAAAGCTGGGATGCAGGAAAATATTTAAAATCTGCAAAACTTACTTTCTAATGTGCCTACTTAAAATCCGTTAAGTAGCTAGATAGCCTCTACTCTACCCCAACTAGAAGCCATAGACTTGATTTACAAATAATTAAATTAAATTTTATGGTGTGTGTTATGTAGAGGATTAGATATCATGGTTATAACGATACTTTCTGCTATTATTACTTCTATTTAAAGCAAAATATAGTGTCTGAAAATAACAGAGTTGGGAGCAACGTTTTCAGTGCTTTTATGATGCTATAGATAGGTGATTTGATGGAATCATCGTAGAAACATTGTTATACTGCTGCTTAAGAACAGATATATTTTAATTACATTTTCATCACTTTATTAAGCTTAGTTTAATGGAATTTTGAATCATTCAGCTAGAAATTATTCTTTCCTGGCAAAATGCAAATATTAGTACTCTTCTAAATCCCCAGTGATATGCAATTTTTCTGAAATTGGAATTTGATTTTTATTTGCTCATTTTTTGTTCATTTTTAGCTTCCCAGTGAAGATACTGACATATTTGAGAGTGCTTCACAGTGCTTATCTTTGCTGGTTCAGCTGTATGGAGGGAACAATCAGGAGAGTATGTCCCCAGAAAACATGGACAACTTTGCTGAAGTACTGAAGTCCAAAAAAGATACACGACAACTGAAGCTTTTGTTGAGAATTATAAAGAGACTGGTGAGTCTACTGTTTTGTATCAATGGATAATGCTTTTGTTTTATATCAATGGATAATTTTTTTGGCTGCTTTTTTCCTCTTAAAGTAAAAAAAAGTGAAAAAAGAATTCTGAAAATAAAATATGTGAAGTTTAAATTTCAGTTAAATTCTCTGGAGAAGATAGTCTTCTGCACTTAAAACCTCTTACAAAATAATTGTTGGATTTCTCCTATTTCAGTTAGCTGTTCAGCTGTTTAAATAACTCACATTATTTATAGATTTGTTTAATACTTTAGCTTTAGGAAATATTGGAACGATTTTCAGAATGCCTTCAGAAAGATCTAACCTTGTAGCATTAAATAGGTGTTCAGAAACGCAGTGCTTGATTTCATGTTAAATAAAATGCCATTTTGTACTTGAAATGGGTTTGTGCGTAGACTGTTGACTCCTCATTCTCTCCGAGTGATAGGGACCACTTCTGCTGGAGTGGTTGTAATGTAGAATGCCAATCAGTGGGAATCGTGCAGGGGCTTAGTGTGGTGATGCTATTGATGGGTAAGAGTTTCAATTCTGTTGTGCTCTGACATGGTGGCATGACAGCAGTGTAATGTCTTTCAAGTAGCTTAGGTGGAAAAGCTTCTGTATCTGTAACATTCTCTCAGATAAGAGCATGGTTTTTATCTTGAAGTGTCTTGATAAGCAGCTTTGCCTGCATTGTCACCTTGTGTTGGTTGATTACTTCACCCTTTACTCTTCAAGAGCAGGCATTTTCAATTAAAAGAAAGTAACTGTCCCAGTGTAAGAGGCAGAAGACACTTCGATTTTGCAAGTGCAGTGCTGGCTACTAGAGTAAGGCCATAATGAGTGGTAGCAGGAGTCATCCTAGTTATGGAATTAAGAGAAAGCAACCGTTTTTGTAGAGCTTTTGGAGCTATTCCTGTCCACTTTCTGCTGCCTGATGTATCTACGTGACAGGAAAGTAAACACCATATCTTTCTTCCCTGTTCTACTCAGTCCTATCTCTTCCTAAAAGAAGCATGAATATATAAAATTAAAATTGAAGTTTAAAATTAATAATTTCCCTCATTCTTGACATCATCTCAGGTTTCCCTCCTTTATTTTCTCACGCTCTTCCTGAAAAGAGAATTCTAGCAAATATTTTTCTAAAGACACTTCCTAATGATTTTTGCTTGTACCTGTGCTTCTCGTTCTGTGTAATTGTTGTGCTACTTAGAACTGGTTTTTGCTTTTCCCCGAAATCAGTAAGAGAAAAGAGGCCACAAAGTGTGAGGAAAGGAAAGAGAAATTAGGCTGCGATGTACATATCTAGATTATTTGATTTTAGCATAGTGACAGATTTGTTTCCTTTCCCTCCATTTTGAAGACTGATTCAAAAGTTGACCTAGCATGCAGGATAGTTAACACAGAAACTTCTGTTGATTATCTTAAGAGAACAAAGCTATGCTATCACCTTATGAATCTTGCAAGTTTCTGTACTTTTTACATCTCTCCTTTTGTTTATCAGTGATACTGGTACTTGTTATTTAAAATATCAGGCATAGATTTTCTGTAATTATTTTAATGAGATCATAAGATTCCTTTTGAAAGCAGGGTTCATAGATAATTTGACAGATTATTTAATAAATCTTACGTTATTTCTCTAAACCTTAAAAAGTCCTGTTCAGAGGAGATAATTATCTTGTCAAAATTGCCATAATCACAAAAGACATTGAAATATAATCATATCTAT